GCGTAGTCAAGAGTGCTGGCGACCGTCCCGGAGTGAATGAATGTCACAGCGCAATCACGACATTTACCCACCTATGAATGCTCCCACTCTAGTGTACCGCCTATACTCTTGCTAGGTATTGGAAGTTTTTTTTCGTTATTCCATAATATTTCTTATTCCAGCCTCTCCCATCTCCTGTATGCAGGCGCCTACATCACATGCGAGATCGGTAAGTGCTAATACATAAGGTATGCTCACAAATGTACACTCATTCATACATACATACATACATATGCCTATATGCACATGTATGTACGAATAGATAGAGAACAAGAGGTATTTTGAAACATTACTTACAAGCTGGGCGTAGTAAATAGAGTGTGTAAAGCAATAGTATACACATATATACTTAGGTGTATATTTACATACTTATGTATCTTTCTTTTAAATTTTCGGTTCGTTTTGGATCTTTGAAATTTTTTTTTACCTGGATCTTATTTGACATTGCAAAGGCGCCAAGCGTCCTATATGTTAGATAAATAGATATACAGTATATTTTGCTTAGCTGCACATCCTTCTTTGCACGAAAAACTTGTGCACTTAACCGAAAAAGGCACTTAAGCGAATTTTCTTTACTACTTCAATGAGGAAGGTATCCAAATCCCTATGAAACCAAATAATGGAGAAGCACTTACCACGTAGAAATTACTGCAAGCGAAATTTTTACTGAATAGTATCTAATTATCTATATAACTACATAAATTGATAGCCATTTTCGTTGTTCCGCGAGATGAGCAAAATAAATAAAAGATTGTAAAATTAGGTAATTGTAGGGTCAGTGCAGGTAAACGTAATACTTTCTTTGATAATTGATACTAGTTGCACAATTTTTAAGGCAGGTATCGCCAATGTGCAGGTATGTTGAATGCATCTATCGGAGCAGTTTCCTTATAAATGTTTAAAATAATGCCACATTTTGGGGAAGGTATCTTAAATGTGCACTCAAGCATAAAGGCAGCAAAGCAAAATATACTGTATACATAGCCATAGATAGGTAGGAGTGAATACTTGGATTTTGTATGTTAAGGAAACCCTAGTTCTTAGTAATTAAAGTTGTGAATAAAGTTTAGCTTAGTTAGAAACATTGAAAGGTAGAAGTGAATACTTGGATTTTGTAAGTTAAGAAAAGAAGAAAAGAAGAAAGAAGAATTGAATTTGTGAATAAGGTTTAGTTGTAGCTGCATTTATATATATATA